TAGTTTAACTATAACGATTTTTCAATTAGTTTGCTTTTAATTACATGTGTAGTCCTAGAATTTCAATTACAATTATAATTAAGTTTACAACATTTATAGTAAATACAACTAAATAAAAAACTTTTTTGTAATTACAATAAGTACAAAACTATTATAATTACCGTAATTAAGTTACAATACATTATAGAGCTGCCATATGGACCTGATCGGACATATATTATCCAAGCTTCAATAATTAGATCATGTCTAGTCGACCTTAGGCCACAAATTTAATTGTTAGTCTTTGTTTTCCTGCTAAAGGCAAAAGATTGAACTCTTGGAATATATAAGATCACAGAAGCCAATACATTTGTAATACCTTCCATTGACCTACCGTAAATGTATTTTATCCCCGTTTGATATTCAATAATTAGGTGTCACCATAAATGATCGTTTTGTCCTTCTAATTATTTTCACTAACTGATAAAGAATTCAACTTGACCAATCAAATTGATATCATCCACTAATGAATCAAAGAACCATTAAAATCACCAAAAGATATACATAATCCTATTAAGGAATTTAGATGAAATACACAGTGGTAAAGTGAAATTCAATTCTCTACACAGTCATGCTATAGAATTAAATTTAGCATACAGTCCGTTCAATAAACTTCAAGTGTACTAGTGTTACATTTAACTATTTTTGTGATAAGGACAAATCACAAAATTGAATAGTGGATTGGTTAACACTACAACCTTTCAATATTATTGTAGTGGAATGTACCCTAATCGTCCTAAACAATTGATGTGCTTAGTAATAATAAATTTAACATGCATTTAAGTTCCATTAAAATTTCATTAATTTGTATGATATTTTTAATGTATTGCATGCTTACAATTTGGGTAACAATCTCCTCTTGTTCCAACAATCCATCATTTTATATTCATTTTAGTTGGGTTTATTCAAAGTTAATTTATTTTACATCAATTTCTAATTAATTGACTCCTATTTCAGGATAAAAATCGTTGATGGAGCCAAATCAGAGATTTAACTATTCATTGAACAAGAATTAAGTAAATTATTAGGGTCAAGTCAAATTAGCATAGTTATGACCCTTAATTATTGAGTCCTTTAAAAGTAAAGAACTAGGACCTACGATTACACTTCCAATAATACACAAAAAAAAATTCCATATCGTTTTCTAATTGAATTAGTATTCAAATCGCCATTCTTGTTGGTTACGTCTTCTGGAAGCTGGAATTCTCACAGTCGAAGGTATAATCATTTCTTCATTCTCCCCCGAGGGGGACATAGGGGGGAAAGCGTTTAGGGCTGCTCTCCGAGGCATATTTTATGGTTATTTCAGTGTTAAACATGATATTGGGCAATTGAAATTCGTAAAATTAAATGAATAAGCATATGAAAGTATTACACACACATGTGTGCATGTGTATATATAGGTACTTTAGAACCCATTTATGGTATTGAGCATGAATCACTTTGTTTTTTCTTTTTCTTTTTTATTTGGCTATTTGATTTTTTTTAAATTAATTTTATCATTTTCATAGCTAAGAGTTGATAATTATATTTCCTCAAATAAATAGTTAAACGAATGAAGTTCATATATATGTGTATTAAGTTCTAAATTATAAGAAAACTCTTGTTAATTGGCATGAATGAATCATTGTGGCATAAACATGCTAAACAAAGAAGTAACTTTGTACTTTGGTTAGAAAAACGATTATTCAACTCTTGAAATTACATTTCAATGATAGAATAGGATAAAGCCACACGGAAACAATGAAAATTTGTAATTTCTTCAATATGCCATAAGTGACCTAGGCACACATTATCCATATCAGGAACATCAATATTATGCTTTTGACAAAAAGAAACGATTTTATCCAAGAAAGGAATCCCACTCATTGTCGCTCATCTCTTGGAGTCTTTGTTTGCATATTATCACTAAACTCATGACATTTATAATATCTTGATCTTTTCTTTGTAATGCCTTAGATAATTCATTTGAAATCCCTAGATGGTTATCATGAGATGTAGATTAAACACGAACTCAAATGATTACATCGAGTCCAGTATATTATCAGCCTCACATATTTGTTCACATGTTGATCCATTAGCAAAAATCAATTCAATTACATGTGAGAACATCAAAATCAAACTAATCAAGGAACGATGATGTGATTCCAATGTGTATCACCAAAAAATGCATTATTACTTTGTTGATTAAGACACTGTCAACTTGAAACCTCACTATTAATGAGTGCTTCAAAAATACGGCCTCTTGTCGGTCTTAAAGAATATCACAACGTTTAGAAGGAACTCCAACAATATTCACCACACCAGAAACCAAATTAAAGAGTGATTGGACTTTCTTGTGATTCTTTGCTATGGCTACAAGAGCCAAGTGAAACTGATGAGCAAAACAATGAACATAGAAAGGTACTTGGAATCTCTTTCAAAATAAGTGCTTTCGAGACCCTTGAACAAAACTTGCATATTACTCACCCTATCATAACCTTGACCTTGCAATCTAGATGTACTCGATCAATATCTTGAAAATAATTTATCTATACCCTCCTTAAGTTATAGAGTTGTAGTACTAGAAACGTATTCAATCCCAATAACACGTTCAACTAGATGCCCATCTTTTCCACATAACGTAAAACAATAGACATTTGCTCCTTCATTGAGATATCTTGAGATTCATCAGCTAGAATTGAAAAGAATGTATCAACAATATCTTTGATGGTAACATCAATTGTTTCAATAGCTGCCATACTTACAATTTCTTTCTTAATTTTTTTTAGTTTCGATTTTTTGAAGCATTTTTCAAAGTGGTAAATTTTATCCCTTCATTATGATTAGCCAGAAACTTCAACTATTGAAGAAAGTTACCTTGATTATTTGACTCTTCAAACTTATCATGATCACAAAAAGCAAGTCCTTGCTGTAAAATAAGTCGAACACAATCAGTTGATGCATCCAAACAAATTTGATACGAAATCCGTGCTTGTTTTGACTGCTTGAAGAAAACTGTCTCAATATGTTGTTCTTGATTCATCAGGGCTTCACAGTTGCTTCAAGCTAGATTATTTGCACCATGGACATCTCCAACATGAGCTCCAAGTCTATCCTTCTTTAAAATTATAGAACCCTTCTTTCGTAAAAGCATCACCACCTCCTTGTTCCCCATTATTTGGTCCGAAAGATACCAGTATAAGCAAATGCGGCATTTTTACTTATACTATATTAGAACCAATCATCATATTCATTGAATAGAGCAGGAATGAATCGCCTTGATTTTTTACATTATAACACATGATTCCGAGGCTGATGCAGACATCTCTACAAGGTACTCTTGTTATCTGATCTTGAAGATTAACATTGTAATCCATTATTGTAGTTCTTAATCCGAGATCCACAGGAAGTTGTACAACATCAATATGCTCAATACTTTCTTTCTTTACCTCATCATTTTCTTGAAAATCAGTTTCATCAACACTTGCTTCCTTTGCTTCATCATTTTCTTAAGCAATAGCATCCTTAACACTTGCTTCATTTACCTCAACATTTTCCTTAATAGAAAATCTCTTAATGCGTGACTTCTTCGCCTCAACATTTCCTTCAATGAAAATTTGAGATATTCGTTTAAAATATCTCAACATATCTTCCCATAAATCAAACAAAGCTTGCATAACTATACCATCAGTGAAATATAAAGTTAAGAGATGAACATCAAGAATTGAGATTACAAATAGCAAATATTTTAAGATAAACTAAACTAATAATCAAAATTATAAATGTAGATTTTTAGAAATGAATTCTATCAGTCTATCACAAGATAATTGATTCTTTAAGCCAATTCATAATTGAATTTTTCAGTCCTTTTTTGGGAACTCAAAATCAACTAGTCTCTTAAAATCCTTTGTTTGTTCTTCCACTACTTCCAAACTCGCTTTCGAAGAAATATTTCCAACAAAATATGGTACCCTTATTTTAACACTAACATTCTTCTCACTTGTGGGTACTTGTTTTTCTTCCTCTTGTCATTTCTGATTTTCATGCCTTGATTTCCCTTGAACAAAGGTTTAAATTTTGGTCAACTTAGAATTTTTCTAATCCAAACTCAATCGATTGATTCTATTCATGTGCTGGAGTCAAATGCTTCCAAGGACGAGTGACCTCGCTTAATGCATTGAACTTGGCTATTTACGGCTCAGTTTCGCCTGAAATTTCTAGGCTTGATATTTATATGATTTGATTTTGGGATGTGATGAAATTATATAAGCATAAATAACTGTCAAAACATAAACAATAAGATTAAGAGAGGTGGATTACAAAAATTTGCTTCTTCAATCTATTCTTGTTCTTCTTCTTCTTCTTTCAAAATATCGTTATTGGAATTTGGTATTGCAAGAGTATGCAGAGTTTTGAGAATTGGGGAAAGGGAAGTACGATTAAATAATTCATATTATGTGGACCTTTTTTCAGTGTCAAAGATTGTTTGGTTTGAGTGGGTCAGTTCTGTCTCGATCCAATTCTATTCCAAGCATGCATTTACAATGTTAAATTTTTTAACTATTGAGAATGCATAATATTTAATTTAATATTTTCCTTTTTAAATTCCAATATAAGGTTTTGTAACCGTGCAAATAAAATACAGTCAAATCATTAAAAATGTCAATAATTGAAAAATTAGTTGTTTTTTTGGAGATCACAGTAGTCATATTACAAGCACACAAACATCAACTTCTGAAAGCAAAACCCTTCTTTCACTGAAACTTCATTACCTGTTGATACTGATTCTTGGAACTCAGCAAGCCAGGTATTATCTTTGTTGATCCACTCTATTTCTGTACAGTAAATGCCAAATCAATAGTTGTTATATAACAGTTTATATTAAAGTATAATAACATGAGACCCATAGATAAACATGAAAAGATAAATATTCAAACAGAAAAAATAGTAAAAAATAAATAAATAAAATAAAATAAAATAAAGCCTGCTTGACTGCAAGTATAAAATACACATTCAAAAGTACTTTCGCGCAGGTTTTCGAGCTAACATTAACAAAAACTTAGGCTTCTAGTCCTCTGATGTCCCAAAGAAACTTGTACAATGATTCCATGGGAACTTGACCTCCACCAAAATACAAGTTACAAGCAACGGTCGAAACAGAGAGTAAACTTTCTTACTAGGAATTATCTCTCTTCATATTGAAATAAAAACCAACAGAATTCATAATGTGCATATGCAGGCAAGAATAGAGTTCCATAATATTTTCCTTCTCCAGATACTCAGCAGCCTTAATAACAAATTTAAACTCCCGTCCGTAGAGATGTGAAGCTGTTGCAGCTTTGTAAGTTAAAAGCTCCAAATCACCTGTAGCCATAAGAAACTAGAAAATTAGAAACAAATATAAAATCAACGCATTTCCATATGAAAAAAATTTATGTTTCCACCTTAAATTTAGCCACTATTGTGAATATATTAGAATTTCCTATCAAAGGCGCAAGGGTAGAAAAAGGAAGTGCAAGAGGAGAGGAGGCCACATGCAAGGTTACATAGTTGGGTGGAGGAACAGTCTAGAAGCAGAACCTATAAATAAGGGGATGGAATTGCAGCTGAGCAGGCAGAATTTGGTAGTCATTGGGAGAGTATTATTTGGCATTTCAAATCTATTTTCTTATAGCAGACCTATTTCTTGTAATCGAAGTTCAGTAATGAAATATTAAAATTCTATTTTAGTCCGCCAATTACTATAGATTCTGTTTGGTGAAGCGAGATTATCTCAGGTTCCTGTCAGAATATTCGACTTTGTTAACAGTATGCTTAGTCAAATGAAACATTTAAACTTAAAAACGTTTAATTGCTAATTGGGTGATCTACTTCCACATAAAATGACAAAAATTTAACGGTGTGCTAAGGCTCCCACAAGTAGCAAAACTTGGAGATGGCCTTTACCTAGCAATAGAATAGAAACTACTAGAAATGAACTATATAGGAAACATGATTACCAGTAGCAATATCCGACAGGAGAATGCTGTGGCTGAAATGGCGATTAAGCCACCATCTGCAACGGAGCCTCCAGTTTTTCCCAGATGCACTGTTAGTAGATATATCAAGAATCTGGTTAGAATGACAGAAGGAAGCTTGATTGTGCCCATCTTTTCGATTAGAACACGACATTCTATCATCTCCACACAGACGAAGTCTCAAGAAGCAAGATGCTAATTCCTTCCACATGTCAGATTTTGCATATGTAGCATCTAAGTGTAAGGCTATCATTTCTGCAAGTTTTTCAGTGTTGTAATCCCCTGCCATTGAGTATACAAACAACATATTATACATACAATTCAGTTTCAGAAATGTGTGCTACAATCATCTGGTACCAAGACATATACCGTAAAACTAAGGCAGGAGAATAATTCCATATAAATGAAAATTCCTCTAATCTATTATTTCATTAACATTGAAACCAAAATTAAACATTCAACACAAGGGCACCAATAGACAGAAAATGTCGGATAGTATTCGAAAGCTTATTTTATATTATCTGCAATACAGACCGTTAAATTAATTTCCAATATATGGAAATAATTTCAGAATGGTGGGCAGGTTTGTCTGTGTATGATTGGAAGGGGGTGGGGGTGGAGTGAGGAGTGAACATTAAAATATAATAATAGAAAAAAGGAGCAAAAGAGTATAGAGCAATGAGAAGTGAAAAAAAAACAAATGATGACTAAACTATTCAAAATTGATCTTATCAGAAGTGATAAGATAACGAAATGAACACCTTGAAACCGTCTGAAAAAACACTAATAACTGACCTCGTTGATGCATGACAACAAGTCTAGCCAACGAGTTGCTGCATGTTGGATCCTTCTTTAAGATGTCCTCAAAGCATGTACAGAGTTTCACATTGTATATGCCATTAAAATGCTCCAAGAGAGCAGCTTTCAATCTGCAACAAATGAAAACCAATATATTCTAACTACACTTGCATACACATACATATGCATATATCTTTCAAATTAGTCCCTAGTCAGTGCAGTTTGTTTTGCATTCTAAGCAGCCACAATTGCTATTTTGGAGAAGGAAACCATTACCTTAACTGGAGTACTGTTTCTGAAATTTTAAATGATTTTTCAAGTTCATCAAGGGCCTCGTTGACCCGATCTCCAAGAAGAAGCATCTGCCAAAATAACAAAGATGGAAATTCGGAGGTTGTGTTTTAGACAAATCCAGAAACTGTTGTAATTAAAAAGAAAAAAGAATTGACTGCTTGAATTGGAAAACAAGTACTCAATCAATAATTGTAGGGGCTGTGCTGCTGATTGTTATGACAAAACATAACTGCAACTGTTGATCTTTTCTTTCACATCTTACTTTATTTTTGCAATGTTTTCTAATGAAAACCTACCCAGTAATTATACTATGCAAGGTTAAAAAATCTGTAGCTTTGTTACTTTCTAGACCAGAAAACTCTGCTGCTTCAAAAATAATTATGCAAAAGTACAACTGTTTCTGAATTAGCAATAAACTTGTATGTATACAACTGGTTATAATTCATCCAAATGCAGCATTAAAACAAAAGAAGTGGTGTAAAAGATTAACGTAGCTGACATCAAGTTTAGGAGGTAAAGGACTTCGCTTGTTAATATTATTGTTAATCATCTCATCTAAAAGCTTAAAATGTTAGCAAGGGACCACATGTATTTATTAAATATTGTCTTAAACAATAGGTGTATGCATTGCTGTATAAGGAATGGTAGCTGGATTTTAAAAGCAAAACAGAATTCTACTCATTTTCAAAACAAATAAGTATTTGATGAATATGAGATACAATTGCCATACAAAGCATTATAACTGCAGTACCTGTATTAAAGGATGAAAAGCCTCAATTACTGGCACTTTCGAGTAAAGGGAAACACGCAAGTGCTTCAACGCACTCGTATAGTAGTCATTATGAAATTTCTTGTGCTCATCCATCAAATCCTCAAAAATTTCACGAGAATTTGGCAAATGCATAGGCAGTAACCATGGAGGAAGACCTACAATTTCCAAGAAACAAACAGTAATTAGCATATCAATATATTCTTGAACGTAATTGAAGCATGACATAAAGGTACACATCCCAAAAATTGTGCAATTAAATTAATATTGGGAAATACAAAAAATAAATTTACATAATTTCAGACATCATACTATCAAAAAATTGGGTACTGTTAGACAATTGGACATCATAATTAGTATCCAAAATATTAAGTGTGGTCATTCAAGCCAGATGCTGCTATTGATGAAGAGGTTTGCATAGTATGGATGATTAGTTATGATAGTTATTTTGGCCCTGCTTTATTTACTCCTATGCATACAAGACAAGACAAGAATCTTGTACTTTTTGTTTGACCACCTAACAAGATAAACAAGCATAAAATGCATACAGCAACAAACGATATATTTGCTAGAAGACATCCTTGTAGTTGAATAACAATGAAAAACTAGAACGCAGACTTATCGGGTACAGATAAATAATATACATTTTGAGATTAAGAGGTATAGGAAGGAATAAACATAGAGGAACTGAATATGTCCCTGTAAATTGCCTAAAAATCATGATTGTGGACAGGAATAAATTAGTGAAGCACAGAATATATGGACCTTCGCACCTATGAGAAGTTGAAAGGGAAGATGGGAGAGAGCACAAGCTCTAAAACTCACCATGAGTGTCAAAAATAGACACATGAGGCAGATCACCACTACTATTAGAGAAGAAATATTTTTCATGTCCACTTTCCTCGGTAGAATTCACGTAGAAATCTAGTGGCTGAAAATGACGGCGAGCAGATTCTTTCAGTTTATTAGCATCAATATCCATGGAATCTTTCGGGTGGTTACCATCCTCTCCTAACACTTCTTTGTCATAGGCGAAAGAGGTGTTCAAATAACACTGTAAGGAGGATTTGGCTCCTCCAGCTTCGAAAGCATCATACCCCTTGTAAATTCCATCTGCAGGCATTTCCGATTACTTGGACTCATCAAATGTGTCCAACTCTGTCCAGTGTAGCTCCTATGGAAGTCCAGAATACCAGAGATTGCAAAATGTCAAGCCAACAACCAAATTTGAGACCGGGTCACTCTCAAAACCACGCTTCTGCATAAGACTGATTTAATATTTTATTATTGGTCCTCAAAAACAATGTTAAAATTCATTAGTCGATGAAAATATTTATTGACTGGCTTTCCACCATCACAACCACAATAATGAAACTTCATTATTTCACAAGTTTAATTGAAAAATATCATATTAAACAGATGTTACTTGAAACATGCTAGCAACAGAAACTTCATTTTGATATCTCAAGAACTCACCTAAGAGTCCAATAAACTTGTAAATTAGTGGTTTGGCCCACTCACAATGTTTTGTCTCCTTCAACAGACTTGCATCTTTTGAGATCTCAAAACCACGAAAAAGACTATAATGTCTAAAAAAGTACTGGTTACAGCCATTTATTTCACATTTTGCAGTGCTCATCCAAGACCAGTCGAGATTAGAGCTTTCTTGAATTCATCTAAGTGTATTATAGAGTAACACAAGCTCATTCCAGTACTTTTAAATGGACACTAGTTAATGAATAAAGCAGCATTAAATTACTTCAGATCAGAGATGTATAGAATCTTACAAAAACTAAACTAAAATGTAGTAGAAAACCAAGAAAATACCATAGAGCATCGTTAGTCATTCCTTGTGTGAGACAGAAAAGAATAAATTCCAATTGGACAGCAAACCTATCCTGTACAGCATTCAGAATTTCAGTATTGCATTAAACTGAATTTGCAAATTAGAATTTACAAAAAAGAAATAACAATACTTTTGTGATTGACATGAACAGAGATTAGGATTGAATCGCCTATCTACCAAGGTAGAAAAAATGCATTTCTCCTTTCATCAAAATAATTACATCGTTAAAAACATACAAAGAAGAGAGCAACAAAAAACTACGTTTATGAAATCTAAATCTTAGTATTACACGAATAGAAGAAGAGATTTATTATCAATTATTTCATGAAGAAAAAGCTTTTATTTATCTTTCAAGAAATATTTTTCTATAACGTACCTTTGTCGGCCAATTTTTCAGTCGCCCAATCTTTTGCATCCACAGTTCATAGACATTTTGGAGTTTTCTTGGGCTGACAGTTTCACCTCTTACATAGTTAAGAATCTCCAGAGCAGCCTCCAAATAATGATAAGTGTGCATTCTGCAAACATATACTACTGATATCCAAAAAGAGTTGAGCATCTACATATAATTTGGAGGAACGACCAGAAGCCAAAAGACGTTGTGTATAAAGCATGATATGAATGAGCCAAAGGGTACTTACATATGGATAAAAGATTTCCAAAACTCTAAAGAGAGGAAGGTCAGAAATCAATCAGTAAGCATATAATTAATACAAAGTATCAGCTGGCTCTTGCCATAATGAATACGGAGAGATTATGCATCCTTGTGTGCTATATCATCAAATACTTCAACATATCCAAAGAGGAGAATGGAAATTTAAATTTTTTTTCTCATAAAAACAGTTGAACAATCCGTTCTAGCCTCAGTATGAATTGGAGCACTTCAACTTTGACATAATTCCTTTGTGACAAAAATCTTAGCATTGGAATCGCCCAAAATTATGTTCTTCAATCTCATCCGTCATAACACAGGACCAAATTCAAGTTCAAGAGATTAAAATCTTGGGTAGAAAACAGAAAGAAAATTTACTTTGATGACACCAAATACTCAAAAAATGAATTCTTGCAAAGAGGAAGATATACCAAATACTTGGTGCGATTATGAGATAGAGACTTGTCATCGGCAGTTCCTTTGAGCAGCACACTAAGCACGCCGGTTGCCTCCCTCCAATTGTGTTGAAGGAGGAGTTTCTCCAACAGCCACCGCAGCTTTTTCCTGTGGATGGACTGCAAACTTTCACCCAGGCCGTACTGTAAGCTTCCAATGACTTGCTCCGGGCGATAGCTCTGCTTATTGTTGGCCAATATGATTTCATTTGTTTTCCTTGCCTTCTTCACCGTGTCCTCGTCATTTTCGTGAGGATTTCTTGGCCCTCTTCGTCGGGGTTTCACTTTCTTGGCTTCCATTGCTGTTTCTCCTATCATATTCAAGGTAAACAATTTGCGAAATGAAAATCTTGAAGTGTGCTGATAAATAGTGGAAATTTAAAATAACAGACCCCAAGCCAAACGATTGGCGTTCCATTTCACGTTTTTGGGAAGTGCCAACTAATATTTTAATTTTTCTTAATGGAACGCGGGAAATTCCTAGCCCCCATTTGCGTCCATAAACTTTCATTTTATTACATTTTATTTTTTTCTCTTTTATTTTCAACAACACAATTTTTTATAAAATAATATTACACATAAATCGAAAAAAATTTCTACTTTTCCAATCATTCATTTTTCAAAAAAATATTATTCCACTGATTTTCACTTTTACAAAATAAGGGCCAAACGGGGCTCTAATACGTGCTAATGTACATTGGCGGTTTTTTTTTTAATATAAATTATTTGTTTTTAATTGAAAATTGAAACAATATCAACTACAAGGGCTTGATTTTGACTTTGTGGACTCTAAATTAAAAAATTTTGCAATTTGTACATCATAAGCATTTCGTTTACATAATTACTTAGTCATGTTGATCCCATTTTTTGAAATTTATGTTTTTTCCAAAATTTAATCACACATTTTATAGTATTCAGAATTTTTATTAACTTTTCAATCACGCATTTCATTAATTTTTATCAAATCTATTAATTTTATATTTTTAGCTAAAATAAACAAAGACGTATCCCATATTTGGTAGGGATTAAAATTCATATTTTAATTTAAATCAAAATCAACAATTAATTTTAATTATATATTTCAAGGGATCCACAACATCCAACTATACATTTCATCAACTTTTATTAAAATTTACTAAGAATAGATTTTAGACTCCACTAAATAAGGGATGAATCCTATCTCATCACGTGACTTTTTGTACTTTTGAATTTTATAATTAGGTCTGGGCAAAAAATTCGAAAAACCAACCAAACCAATCAAACACATGTAATTGGTTTGGTTTGATTTTCTTTTAAATAAAACTATGGTTATTTGGTTAGATTATGGTTTGAAGCCTCAAATCGTTGGTTAACCGAACCAACTCAATCCACTTGTATGTTTACCTTTTCTTTAAGAAAAAATATAAAAAGATAAAACCTAATCTCATAACCATATCACGATTTCCTCCAAACTATTATATTATCGGTAAGTAATAGTACTGAAAACTTTCTTTCACAAGCTCATTATGTTATATTTAGTTTTTTTCCTTACTCAGGCAATCGGGCTACATAATCTACAAAAAGGCAACAAAATCTCAAAGTTTTCTATTAATCTGTCTCTAGTAGCCTAATTTTATTTATTAGTCAATAATTCTCGTAATATAAAGTTATTTAGTTATTTTAGTTCTTGTTATCTAATTGGACCCAAACTTGGACAATTTTTTTTCTAAATTCAATTTAGACTAAAAGTCCAAATTGACTAATCGAACCGAATCAAACAAATCTGATTTGGTTTGGTTCGGTTCAATTTTAAGAGTTAAAGTGGGTTGGTTTGGGTTGAAATTCACCAAAATCGACTAATTTGGTTTTAATTTCGAGTTGGAGTCGAAACAAACCCAAATCAAACCGCGCCCAAGCCTAATTTTAATTATTTGGAATAGTGGTGCAGCAATTGTCAAACCCCATTCATATAGACAAAATACATTAACCTATGTTGGAATAAAATTTCATGAACCGACCTAGACATATGATTCTACATTTTATTTTTGACATGATAAATTGAAATAAGCATATTCACAATATTGTCCCTGTATATTCTTACCTAACCACCTATGATGTACGTATAGTATGTTATGACCAAATACTACATAACCAAAATTCAACATATTTACTTTGAGAATTACAAAAGTATCCACCATACCATTTCAAAAATCATATATAGACAATACAGGATTCTCAATATATAATATAACATATTATAAGGTCAAAACAAACAGGCAACAAAACAATCCTACGGATTGTCATCAATGTACATCAAACTTTGGAATCCCTAAGAGATTCATAGCTAGTCATGTCTTCTATGAAATTTCTTGCTCACCTACAATGCAAGAACTACTTAACCTAATGCCCAATAAGTAAAAATCATGCAACTTTTGAGTATAAATAATATGAGTATATGATGACATGTCATTTCTTTAAAACACCATGCTAAAATGAATTATATTCAAATATTTATCAAAGTTAACTCGAAATAATTTCATTTGAAATATTTTCCTTTCATTGGGCCCTTGACCCACTTCCTATTCATCGAGTAGAGTTTTGCACAATTTAAATATCAATAATCATCAATCCAATGGCCAATATAATATTGATCAATCGAATGGACCATCCTCTTATGATCACTAGAAGTACGTTCCCTTATTGCCCCTATGATCATCCAAGAAGTATCCCACTCGCAATGTCAATAATTATAATTATAATTTTTATTTTTATTTTTATTTTTTTAAGTTCAATTTTAATCAGACATTTCATAGTATTAAAAATTTTTATTAACTTTTCAATCACGCATTTCATTAATTCTTGTCAAATATGTTAAAAATTTATTTTTTAGATAAAATAAACAAACACTCATCCCATGTTTGGTAAGGATTAAAAATCAGATTTTAATTGAAGTCAAAGTCAACAATTAATTTTAACTATATATTTCATGGGATCCACAATTTTCAACTACACATTTCGTCAACTTTTATCAAAATTTACTAAAAATATGATTTTAATCTCCACTAAATAAGCCAAGTGCATTCTATCTCACCACGTGACTCTTCGTACTTTTGAATTTGAATTATTTCAAATTATAGTGCACCAACTGATCATTGCTACGTATATGTGAATATAATCATTAGTTTTAATGAAGATAAAGAGCATGCATGTAAAAATAATTTTCTAAATTTTGTCATAAAAAGTGAAATAAATAAAATTTGCCTATCCATTAATTTGTTGGCCTCGAAACCTAAACGATCAAGTTGTCAATATATTTCTTGTCACTTCTTCGTATACAAATGTGTTACTTTTACACTAGAAAACCATTAGATGCAATGCCATTGTAGACAATCTGTTGCTCTTTAACAATAAATTCATTGGAGAGATAAACACATTGAACGAAAATATGATCTCTTATGAGAGATAATTGGTAGGATTGTATTGGAATGAACTTGTAGACTCATTTACTGAAATCCTGTCTACTACAATTTTCAAGGAATATCTATATGACATGATGTTGTATGATATGACACATCTACTCTAGGGAAAGTGGGAGATATATTTGGTTTTGTGCCCATAAAGTAAATTTGTTATGATAAAATATTAATTTATAATAACTAAATTGTGGGTTTATTTATTTATTGCATTCATTTATTATTGAACATGCGAATTAGAGTACTAATGATCACTTGTGACAATATAAGTTGGAATTTGTGTTGAGAAGTACATTGTGACGTAACTTATAATTTGATCATAAATAATTTGTTCACAAACAATGTATAAAGGTCGGCATTTTGTACTGGAAGGTTGCAACATTGATCGGTTTACTATTTAAGTTTGTGATTTGTCCTATCACATAAATAGTTAAAGGTGACAGTAGTACACTTGAAATGTATTGAACAGATCACGTCTTGAGTTTAATGCTATAGCATGACCGAGTGAAGAATTAAATTTCAGTTAACCACTATGTATTTCATCTAATCCTTCGAAAGTGTTATGTACATCCTTTCGTGATTTTAATGAATCTTTGATTCATCAATGAGTGAGATTAATTTGATTGCTTAAATATCTCGACGAGCTGGGAACTTGACAATGAACGAAATAAAGAACATGAATTCGTGTTGGGAACCATCACCCTGAGATTGGGTAGAGTTACTATTTAAGTATTTTCTATTAAACAGTTAAAATTTGAGCTCAATATTTTCTATTGAGGCGGTTAAAATTTGAGCTTATTGTTTGCAGAACCATTAAAGAAAATTGTACTTAAGTTAGCGAGAATAATTAGAAGGACAAAACGATCATTTATGTTCCTACCTAGTTATTGAATCTCGAACGGGGATAAAATATATGTACAGCGTCAGATGAAAGTATTACAATTTATCGACTTGTGTGATCTTATATATTCCAAGAGATTAGTTTTTTTCCTTTAATGAAAAAACAAAGATTAATAATTAGATTGGGTAGTCCAAGGTCGATTAGACAGACCTCGGGTCTCACTGGTAGCTCTATAAATTATTGAGATTTAACTACGGTAATTATAATAGTTTTGAGTTTAATTGTAATCACAATAAAGTTTTGCACTTAGTTGTAATTGCTGTTAAAAATTAATAAATTTAATTATAATTGTACTTGAAGGTCTAGGACTACACATTTAATTTTGACTTTAATTGAATATATAATTATTATTCTACTAGGTTTGGAACTATTCTATTTTTATAAATAGAGACTATATAGAACCTAAATTCCACCAACAATTATAATACATAATTTTATAGTGTTCAAATTTGGAGAGGGAAGATAATTATCTTCATACTTTATTTAATTGTCCAGTCCAGGAACTAATTTCTTTATTTAATTAAAAAAAGGTGTTCACCATCGATGTAATTTTGATTTTGGAGAATATCATAGAAGATTTGGAGGTTTGAAACTTCAAGTTCTTGGAATTAAAAGTTAAAATCTCCTAATCCAAAAAAAATTTGGAAGTTCGATATTCAGAATTTAATTCCAGAATTGACCATTGAATTTAGATAAAAATAATCATTTTCTCTTGATATAATATACACGTGAATATTTAGACGATCTTATTTATTGAATTAAAAAATTTTAAGTTATAAATAATTCTGCTTTCGCATTCCAACAAAATCATATCCTATAAAAACATGCATGCACATATAAATAATTCTACTGGTCATGTCTTGCATCTTTCAAGTAAGTTCTATTAAAATTCAAAATATTCATTCCAAAAAAATTTCTAACTCATCTTGAAATTTTTACATAAAGCAAAATTAAAACATTGGATTCACATTCAGCAGAAGAATTATACAAATGGTTATTGTTGTAGAACCAACATGATATTCCATTTGTTAGTTCCGTAAAGTCTTTTTGAGTCGGAACTATGCTGGTCATCACCAGAAATGGCACCTTTTGTTGGCCAATTGAAATGATTTTGTTTGTTTCCAAGCCATTTCCCTGTAATTTTAATAAAAGAATAGTCTTATCATCGAACTAACAATTCCATAAAGAATAAAAGGGGAGTGAGAGCCCAAATCAATGCCTGCCTTTCACATCGAAAAATATAAGAGTAAGTTCTATGGTATTGTAGTGATTTTAGTTTGAGGTCGGCATTAAACGTCTTTTTTCTTTACACCAGGTTACTCGCTTCTTTATTATTCAAGTAACATTTTTATATTTGATATCGTTACATATTAATTGATTTACTCGGGATAAAATTTATTCCATACTTGTTTTGGGATTTCTATGCTAGTTTTTGGCATTATAATTTATATGTTAAAACAATTGTCGGCATCCACTTTTTCTGTTTATATCAAACTATAGTTTTAATTGAGTATTTAATCGATAATATATTTTATGGCATAGTCACTTTGAGTGCTAAATGTTATGCTTCAAGTTTTAGGGATTGACTTGGATATCAAAGTAAAAGATTTGTGTATGCTTATATTCCAGTCGATGCTCAATATTGACTTATGAGTGATTTATGATTTAATATGTAAAAATTAAAAATTATGACTTAGCAAGTGAAAATTGCAGCCCTTAACGGTCAACGGCCAGCTGACCAACAATCCTTGATCTCTTGTCCACTGTACATAGAAACCTCGTCACTTATGCAGCAAAAACACTTCTCGGGCAAACTTCAACCACTATTTTGTGAAGTATACAATTATTCACTGCATATGCAAGTACTTATAATCATTTCAGCTGAAGGACCTTGTTTTTCACTGAACTCTTACTAAAAGAATTTAAAAAGAAAAGAGGTAATGCTTGAATTCCCCTTACTTCAAGAATAGTGAATGCAGTAACTAAGGAGAATAAGATTGAATAGCTGAAATCACAAGTTAAATACATCCTCGGTGCTAGAGAGGATTTTCCCAACTTTGATTCTTTACTAAAAGAGGACGACAATGCAGTTACTGGCTCGTTAGGTAGTAAAACGAAGTCCAGAATGAAACTCTTAACGGCTAAACTACAACTTCTACAGAGAAGCAAGATGAGACTTAAAAAAGAAGTTTAGATCACCTTATAAACTTCAGCAAGAAGATCTTGCTTTTGATCCTTGGAGGATCTTGGTAATATGTATGCATAATAGCCAGAATGTACATTTTGTCTTTGACATTCCAAAACAAAGATACAAATAGGAAAATACGTCACATAAACACAAGATAAATTATATATAGCCAAATGTAATTTCCAACAAACAAAAGTTTCTCACGAGTGAATGCTTGTTCATAAGAAAGCTTAAATTTTGCATACATTTCATGTCCAACAAATTATGCATCGCTTCCCAGATCAAGTTTACTTTCATTCATCCATTCAAAAGCAAAATAAAAAGAAATAATATATATAACAAGTTCCATAATCAACGTTGGCAGTGCCTAATGCAATAGCCATCATAAAGCCTACCATTTGCACTGCATGGAATGACAAAAATATTTACTGCATTGCGTGTTGCTTTTCTGGTCTTATCCAGTGACACCACAAAAACATCTGCAATAAAGATCCTTCATAAATATTCGTTAAAAGAATTAAACAATAAATTATGATTGACAATCTCTCCTATGTCTCCTTATAAGTCATTCTCATAAGTAAATTGAAATATTTGAAACGAATGTTAATTTTTGCAATCATATAATGTAATTCATATTTCTCTTGATATTTTCTAAATACTTCACAGAAAATCTACTATTTTCTACTCATTTGACCCCTAGATTGTACAATTCAAGAAAGAATTTGGAACAATATATTTCTAAAAGTGAGTGGAACTAATTTGGAAAAGCTGCATTTCATAGATGGAGAAATGGAACCAATATATTGCCGAGTAAAATTAAATACCTAACTAATTATAAAAAGGAATGCTTTCCATCAAACACATTCTCATGACGCCACGTAAACTTTTCACATTCTTCTTCTAATTCTTTCTCATTTTCCAGTCTTTCAAATTCAAAAAAAAAAAAAGTGGAGTTGCAAACTGCCTGACAGTTTATACTAGTTTCATTTGTAATCTAGAGGGGCATTTATTTTACAATCAAGATATACCAATCCACAAGTTTCAGGCATCTTTACAGGATCATACTTTGCTATCAGTAAACTAAAAACATAACTTATTTTATGGATACAGCAGCATAAATATGAAGACAAAGTGAGTGATCGATTTGTGAATCATTTAGCCTGGTGAATAAGCTAATTATTTCTATCTTAGCCCAACTGATAGAAATTTCCATTTGAATTCTGGCTATTGTTAGTATTAGCTTATAACAAATTGAGGATACCGTGCAAGAGATTTTCAAGCATCTCTCGTAAAAAAGAATTTATGTTACTAAAAACTTGTTGAAGTATTGTGAGCATGTCAAGTAGATCACATATTTAAAACCAGTTTATCTACAAAAGATGCTCAAGTAGTTATAAGCTCACAAGTTAAGCTTTTGTGTGGGACTCAATGAGAGTATTTATGTGGTTCTGTGAAAAAAAATAATTAAAATTTAGCAAATTTAAATCACTATGTTTAGAGGAATGCAAATGGAGACCTGCACCAATATGCTTCAAATTTTGTTGAATTTTCCTAATTCAGATCACTAGGCAAAGAACAATCACTTATTTATGTCCTTGTTCACTATATATCCAGGTTATAATCATCATCAAAAAGTTACCATGACAGTAATTTCGACGATCTTAATCATAATTATAAGTCAAATTTAGTATAGAACTAGAGTTGGGAGTGTAACCAAAGCCTTTCTGATGAAGTGCACAAGGGATTAGAGTTCACGGCAAAATGGGACCATCACAAGGCAAAAGTTGGCAAAAGGGGCAAATGATTTCATGATGACTTTGGGTTTACTCGTTTTTGGCAAATCACTAGTCTAATTTGATTGGAGCCGAGCCAAGGAATAAAACTCAGCACCTTTGGCCCTGACGCAAGACCAATTTCGGGCAAAATCCATGGTTTAGGCCTTCGTTAATAAAATTCAAACTTTACAAACAAACTACTTGCAATGACAAAGCATATAGAAACTCATAAATGATTACCCACCTAATCTTTTAGAGATTGCAGAACATCCCCAATCATCTCCTTCATCAAATCTAACTTCTTATAGTAGAGCTCAACCTCCTTTATCATAAGTTTTTCCCATTTTGCCTCAATGTTTCCTGAATTGCTACTCCCCTTCAAGGTGCAGTTCTTCTTGACCATATCTGGTGCAATGAATCCAATATTTTGATTGAATGACGGATGTATTAAAGGATACTTTAACTCCATATTGATATCGACTTCATCCTCAACAGTGCCTTTCTTCTTTTTATCTTCTTTTTTGGACCCAAACTCCACTCTTCTCCGCTTTCTTGTTTTCTCACTGATTTCTATGATTGGCTTTTTATCACACCCATCATTTCCCCAAAGTTTATTGGAAAGCTCAAAAACAATTGAGTCGTGACGATTAGAGAAATCCCCGGGGGCCCTATTCTCTGTAGTTTTCTTGAAGTTTCCTACAAACTTTTTCCTGAGCCTTCGAAGTTTTTCAGTGATCTGAATCTTTGTAAACTCAGTGTCAAGTTTGTCCTTGATGAAAAAGTAAAAATCAGTCATGTTTTTATCCCCATGCATACACTTGAAGTCGATCATACCTTGAAGCAAAACAATGACATCTTTGTCCGTGAAAATCTGGCTAAATGAAACTAGGGGTTTCTTCCTATTAGTTTCTTGAATGTCAGTCTCAAGAGGATTTTCTGTGGGGTTCAAGGATTCAACAACCGTTATGACTTCGTTTTTTTGGAGGTTTTGAAAATCAAAATCAGAGCTGGAGGCTTGTTCGCCCTCTTTTTGTCCAGCTTCTGTGGTCTGATTCTCGCCCGCTAACGCTTCTTTAATTTTAGAATTGGGATCACAGATGTAATCACCTTGTTCTTGAGTCTTCTCTAATACAGCACGTGATTGTTTTTGTTGGTCCGCTTGATTGTGAATTCGCAAGGCCGTTAATTTGTCCAACGCTGGTTCATGGCCCTCTTTTTCTCCAGCTTCTGTGGTGGTCTGATTCTCATCAAACAGTGCAATTTCTTGAGCTTTTGAAATGGGAACACAGGTAGAATCATCTTCCTGTTCTTGTGTTTTCACCAATGCTTCTTCTAAGTGTTTTTGTTCTTCAGAAATAGCAACATCTTCATCCATTATATTAATTTTTTGGGCTGCAAATATCAGAAATATTTAAAAAAATTACCTTTTCTGCAGATAATCAAGCAGATAATTGGTGTCAAACACAAACAAAATAAAGTTAAGTTTCCTCTTCATTTAAGTCAGTTTGATAAAGGCAAAAATGAATAAGTTAGCCCTAATGGCCTGATGATTAATATGTGAACCCCATCTTGTTGACATATTCTGCAGTCAATTATTCTAAGACTTTAAGATACAAGAGCAACTACATATATTAAGTTTTCAAGACGAACTAAAGATAAACAATATCAAGAAGAAAGAAGAGGCATATAATCAAAACAAGTGCAGAATATGCATTGACGAGAACAAGAAAAAATGCCAATTGGAGATGTTTGGTGATGCCTAAAAGCGTATGCTAAAATAATTTTAGGAAAGATAAAGGGCCTATTCAATAGCATGGTTGGATTACCTTCCTTCCCCTAAACAACTTAAAGAAACAAACTTCTAGATGAAGTTTCTCGACTGCAAGTGAAAAGCCAAAAGTTTATACAGAAATTCCTACTATTTCACTACCTATCATCTCTATTCATTAAGCAAGAAAAACTCTCCATGAATCTTATTCAAAACTCTTCTCCTACAAGAGAAGCAGATTATTTCTGTTGATACTTCTAGAAAATCCAGAAAAGAAGCCAAAATTGGTTGTTAAACTAGACCACACATGTAAATTGTTCAATATGCAAAAGGGTTTGAATAATCAAAATTAAGTTGAAGAATATTATATACTTACAGCCCTCAGAAGCAGATGATGATGAGGAAGAATGGAATACTAATTTTTTGGACGCCAAAGCCATAACCACCTAGCTTCCAAATCTCTTGTTTTCTTCTTCTTTTCTTCTAGGGGGAATCAATGGTTTACCAGTGAAGGGATCTAAACTTTTTACAGAGTCATCAGAGATAGAATTCTTCCGTGTATTTGTTCCTTGAAACTTGCGCTTACCATTAGGCGGATAGTAAACCTCAGTGGCTGTCAAGTCAAATACATGCACATTAAAATTTGAATTTCCAGTGTATTTGAAGAGTAAAAAGTAGCCATAACGGACAGAATCAATAGAATCAGTAAGTCTAACAACATTGGAGAGTTGATGACCTTATCTTTTAACAAATTTGTTGAGGATCTTCCGCACAAAAATACATTATAATTTATTATATATACAAGCAAAAAAATGCAGAAATTTCATCCGACTAAACCCTAAACTTTATATCATTTCTACAAGCTGATATTTCAGTTAGCAAACTACCCCAATAGGCAAATACAAGAATCTCATTAATAATTAAGAAGATATGAAAATTACCAGTTTGTGAAGGGAAGTGATTGAGGGCAAAATAACTTTGAAGAATCTTCTTCTAAATCCATTTCTGTTGCTTTGTGTTTCATATTCCTGTTAATATTCATGGTGTTTCGAATTTTGTTGAACTCTGGAAACCCCTTTCGAATTTAATGATTCAGTGTGAAAATCACACTCATCCAGATGAAGAGTCAAGCCTTAATTATGCCTTACAGATAATTAGTGTCAAATATCAATCGTTATTGATGTCTGTCCCACTGCTCTATGAGTCTATGTTCAGTATAAATCTTAATTTTATATTATTTTGTATTCAATCCATTTGAATTTATAATTATTGCTATTCTCAAAAAATTTATTGATGTTGGGAAATTGGTGCCTTCATTAGTACTGTTCTGAGTGCCAAAGGGCTTCTTTAGTAGAATTTGTTCGCCTGTAATTATTACATATGTGGCTGCGGACATGAGTTCAAAAATGATAGAAAGTTAAGAACCTTCATTAGAATTAACACGTGGATATAACTATTTTATTGATTTTACAAATAAGTTAAAGCAAAAAAGGTCTATTCATTTTTTCCAACTTTTATTAATTGAAAAAGTATCTATTCATTTACTTATACTAGTGATAAGCACGTGCTTTACACGTTTTATGTGCGGCATAAATGATATGCATAGTATTTCTAAAGTAGGACACTTGATAATGTTAAAAGAAAAATTTTAAATTGTTAAAGAATATACATATAAATAAAAGTTTTGTGAAAATTACGTTCATAAAGTGAAAATGTTGAATAAATTGAAATATAATGATTTGTTTAAGAAGAAGGCATCGACCAATTTTGTGGTACAGACATATGAAGAAAAATCAAATTAAAAGATATAAATTTGATTAAGTTTAAAATGTTTACATATAAGTAAACTAATAATTTTCAAATTAAAAAATTTACTCATACTATCTGTACCATAAACCTTTTTACCTATAAAAAAAAAGGAAAAAAAAGTCTATTATCTAAACATATTTAGAAACAAAAAATTACATATTAATCATGCTCATCATATTAATCCATAGCATTTATTTTAAATTAGAAACCAAAGTTACATCCAAAATAGATATCGTAGTGAAAAACTTAGACAAAAATTTTCCTTTTCTTTTGAATGGGATTAATACAAATGGGGGAATAAAAATTCTTCATTTAAATGTACCGAGATAAAAATATTTTCATTTCTTTATATATTTATATATAGTAAGTAACATGATTACCATGAATTTTTATGCTTATACAAAAATGAAAACGCAATAATAAATATTCAATACTATATTAATTATTTTTTAGAACACATAATATTAATTTTTATTAATGCTTAAAAAATTGGATTTAGTGAAAATGTGTAATTGAGAGGTAAAGCTTGTATTTAGTGTGTAGATATAAATATGATAAGTGTAAGTAACTTCCAATTATTAGGAGTAATTAGTAAGGTTTTTAAGATTGATGAATAATTTCTCCCATCATTGATTCTTTCCCTCCTAACTGTTGATCACATTTAAGCACTTTTTTCTTTTCAATTTATTGCCATTTGTATTTAAATAGTAATATTATCAACTATTAATTAATTACACGTGAAATTTATAATTTTTGATTTAAAATATTAAAAATGTTATATGAGGACAAAATGATAAATTGAACATTTCTCATCCATCTCCACATTTTATTTTTATATATATTGTAATTATAATAAAATTATATAATTAGATGAATGTTGATTTTAATTTAAACTCACGCATATAAATAATATTATAATATATTAAAGATGGCATTAATGATAGATTAATTAAAAATTGATTTCACACAGTCTCTTTTTTTAAGTATAGAATTCATTTTTAATATTAGAGTACTCATAGTTTTGGGTTAACTAAATTAAGTTTAATCACTTAAAGTCAAAGCTCGTGTACATATATAATCATATTAAAAATATAATAAATATTATTTTATATGATAATTAATCTACCATTATATTAATGCAACATTTGATTTATTTTATTGTATAATTATAATAAAATTACGTCTAGATTTTAAGTGGTAAAATTAATTTAAATAATGTAAGTTAAGTAATTAAACTTAATTTGATTAATATAAAATTTTAAGTACTCCAATATAAAACAATAAATATTACACTTAATGGATATTAAATGAAGTTAAATTATATTAAACATTACTATATTAAATATATAAGGGTAGAATTGGCATATGGCTAAAAATATAATGGATTTTTATTAAGAGCATTAATTCAATTTATTCAACATGAAATTGAAAAACGGGTATTGTTTAAGGAACTCAGATGATGGCCTTAAATAACCATTTATAGAAATTAAAAATATTTTTTGCTTTAATCAATAGCATTATATTTAAATGGATACTAAATGAAGTTAAATTATATTAAACGGTACAATATTGAATATATGATAATAGAATTGACATATAACTAAATATGTAAGGATAAAATTGATATTCAAAAGTTTCTCCTAGGGCTGGACATGGTCCGATTCGATTCGATTCTAACGAGAACCGAACTGACCCGAAATTTTCGAGTATTTAGTAAGTGAAATCGTCGGGTCCAAATTTAATTATGGAACTGCTTGGGTTCGATTTCATTCGGTTCGGTTCGGTCTAGTTCGGATCCATTCGATTCCGTATTATAATTAAATTTTTTAATATATACAAATTTACATTAATTTACTTAATGATGTGTTCAATATTTGCTCTTACAAAATAACGTAATCCAATCTTATATGTCTTTTACGTCTCTCTTTGTTGAATTCTTCATAAATTTGATTATTAAAATCACAAGAAGAGAAAGATAGCGAGCTCAAAATAATTAAGAGAAATGTTAAAGAGCTTTTATTCGATTTTCTCCGGTAGAAATGACACTATAGTAGAGTAACAGATTTGGATAAAATTGAGGTCGATTTGATTAAGTTGATTTTGAACTGAAAATTAGAAATAGAAAAATCATATTTTGTAATTTGAACTAAATTAACTAGTTAACAAATTTATTTAGAAAAACTAAAATAATTTTGCTTATTAAAATAAAAAAATTAAAAAAATTAAGGAGATTCGATTTTTCTGGTCTTGGCCTAGAACCAGAACCGAGCTGTACCCATCAGTTCTTGATTTAAATACCCCTTCGGGGATTTAATTTGAGAAAAATCGTCGGGTTCGGTTCGGTTCGATTTGGGTTCGATCGGTTCGGGAGTTTTGTCCAGCCCTAATTTCTCCTCAATGCATACTTTTAATATATGGTAGATGATATGTAAATACTTACAGGAAAGCTTTCGAGCTTACAAAGTATGCATTAAAAGTTATGAACGTTATTATTTTTTTAAGTGCAAAAACTAAAAGTTGTATTTTAGACAAACAGGTTTGGAGATTATTTTAATTAATTTTTCGTTTGAGTAAAATAAAAAATATATATAGAAATATATAAAAACCAAGATAGCCGATGCTATATATTAATTCAACTTACCTAAACATGTAGTAAAAATGTTAAGTAAATAAATTTTCAAAAATGTTCCAATGAGTGAGAAAGAGGAAGATAGCTGAAAAATGGTTAAAAAATCGTATGTAAAAGCATACTAAAAAGGGAAAGGGCCTACAATAATAATTTTGGCTAGAAAACTTATAAAATTTTTGCATTTAGATTATAAATAATGAGCTTAGGTGACCCCGATTTTTGCAATGGCAACGTGGACAACAGATGTCGTGCCCACTCGTGCCTATGCGAGCAACTTTCGACACGTTATGATCGGAATAACCAATTGAAGGATCTCCAGCTGCAACGAATGTAGATATGGTCAATCGCATCTCATGCTAATGTAAACGGGCCAAATGTTGCTAATGAACCGAGCTCCATGCCCAAGATGAGGTTTTTTTTATTAATAGGCCCAATTAATTTAAATAGGCGATGCCACGTCAGTCAATGTGAGACTTCCTCCATCACACGCATGCTACGTAATTTATATGTAACGATACTCCTCTAAGTTTGAGTTGTACACTCATATGCGAGTCGGGCTTCAAAATATAAGTAGTCAACTAGGTGGGATCTTACAAATTGTCTAAAAAATATGAGCAGCTCCAATATGAGGACTTACAGACTACCTTAAAAAATCCGTGCAAGCTTTAATAAGTGGGGGCCTACAGACTGCCTTGAAAGATAGATATCACATACGATTTGTCAATAGTTGATTTGAATCATAAAATGACTGTTGAATATCACATATGATCAATTGGATGCAATTTGGAGTGTCAAGTGAGTGAAATAGAGTTGAAGTATTTTCACCAATCAATTTTCAACCGAATAAGTTATGCTTTAAATTTTTAGCCTCAATTTAAGACCCATTTTTTTGGATAGCAAAATTTCAAATCGAAAATATTGTATTTCAAGAAGAATTGTAGCTCTTTCAACTAGATTTCCCTGGAAGAAATGAGAGATATATCTCAAGCAAAATTGGCTATTTAATAACAAAAAATGGTTAGGTATTATAACTCTAAAGTTAAGAAAATGTCATTTTCGCTCGAACGACCTTGTGATACGAAAAGTGTTCCTATCTTCTAAATAGCCAGGAATGGGAACCCCAAGCCCTAATTGGGAGGGTCCTTATCGAATCAAGGAAGATGTTTGATCAAAGACCTATAAAATTGTAAGTATCGATGGAAGGCGCAGCCTCATCCATGGAATGCAAAGCATCTACAAACGTACTACCAGTGAAATTGTAAATGAATTTTATGTACGATTTGTTTAAATTTAAATGAAAGTTCCATATTAAAAATTTCTATTTTACGGAAAAAAATACTTCTCGTTAACTAAATTATGGGAGAACCATTTGCATAGACGAACTGTCCCCATGTGGAGAAGTGTGGCACCTTGACGATGAGGTGTATCCTATTGAAGGCAAGATAGCTTGGAGATATTAACACCTCCACCCATGGTTAGAATTAGCAATTAGAGCATTTTCAGTAGGTTCTTTAAAAGACTACTTAAATTAATATTTTAAAATAAAGAGAGTTTATCAGTCCAAATTTAGTGTGCCAAACTCACTCTCTATAATAAATGCACTCAAAGTGTTTCAATTTTCATTGGAAAAAATAATATAATAATTTCAAGGAAAACTAGGGAAAATAGAATATAAGGAAAAATAATAAATATTTTTTCGAATATTACTTAAAAATATTTATACTCCAAATTATAAAATATGCTCTTTAAACATAAAGAGTCT